TCAGGATAAGACTGATTCAGATCTGTGTTTTTTGCAATGCTCCTATAGTGCTTGGTTTCCCAGTAACATTTAGTGTCAAAAAGGACATCTATGCGAACATAATCTGGAGGTGGTAAAACAGCATTCTGATACAGAAATTCTGTAGGATATATCTAAAGATATCTTCCCTCATCAAAGGGACCAAAAAGCCCACTACTGTTTCTAAAACTCTAGTCTTCTTAGGCCACCAGAGCTTCCTTTAATCAAGTTGCTAATTATTTCATTTCACTTGGATCTACAACCAACACTCATGTTAACAGCAATCAAGAAATCAAAAGATGTGTTTTCATTGGATGAGTCTGCTGGCAATGACCTCTTCAAAGTGAAGCAGAGCAAGGGTGTTAGTTTAAACACTAAGGTATTTCTGACCCAAGCCAGGGTATTTTCAATTGCTTCCTATACATATGAGAGATGGACAATGAATAAAGCAAATAAGGAATAAATGATTTTAAATTGTGATGTTGGTGAAGAATACACCAAGAATTGCCAAAAGAACAAACAAATCTGTCTTGGGGGAAGTGTAGCCACAACGGTCTTTAGAGGCCAAGATGGTGAGACTTCAGATCATATTCTTTAGACAAATTGTCAGGATGGCCTAGTGTTTAGAGAAGAACATCACACTTGGAAAAGTATTGGTTCAACAAAGGATAGGTAGAACCGCAATGAAAAAGACTGCCTAAAGGACTGTAATAATGGATTTAAGGATGGTAGAGATTATGAGGGTGACAAGGAGCAGTCAAGCTTTCCATTAGTGTTGCTATGAGTTCGATTCAATTCAATAACCCCGAACAACAACAGAATAAATAGTCTTAAATGTCAGACTGGGTAAACAAATGATGAAAAAAAAATGATGAAGAAAAAAAGTCATGTGTGATACAATCTATAAGGAAAGATAATTTTATCATTTTATATGTTGCTAGAGATAATTTAATGATAAAGCTTCATCTCATATACTTTGGTCATGTTGCAAAGAGAGGTTATTCCTTGGAGAGGAATATCATGCTTGGGAAAGTGGAGGGTCAGCAAAGGAGAAGACCTTCAATCAGGTAGATTGACAATGACTGAAGCAATGGGCTTAAGAGTGTTGGAGATTGTGAGGATAGAACCAGATAGGCCAGGGTTCAGATCTGTTGTCCATCAGATCACAATGAGCTGTACTCTACTTGAGGGCACCTAACAACAGCAAACAACATGTCCAAAATATGTGAGACGAAGCTTTGTCATCTTTGACCCCAAGGAACACTCTGGCTGCACCTTTTTTGAAACATATCTGTTTGTTCTTTTAGCAGTACATGGTATATTTAGTACTCTCAAACAACACAGTTCAAAGGCATAAATTCTTCTTCTGTCATCCTTATTCACAGTCCACCTCCAAAATGCATAGAAAGTGGTTGAAAAGGCCATGTACTGCATCAGGCACACTTTAGTCTTCAAACTAGCATCATTACTCCTCAATATTTTGGAGAGGTCCCTGACTACATACTTCTCTACTGCAATAAGTCTCCTGATCTTCTGACAGCTGACATATATTTTTTGTGAATACATTTAAGATGATAGAATTTTGTAAGACCAATGACCTATTGAGTTGAAATATTTATTTCTCAGTAATATAAATGGTGACTATATACGTAAATCAGCTGGAATCAAAGGGATCACAAAGCTCAACTACCATCATCCAGGAGAAGACCAAGAACTGACTGTGAAACAGACTATAAATTGTTTTTCTGCATGGTCACATTGAAACTGAGGAAAGCTAAAACAGCCCACATGAAGTTCGAAACAATTTCAATAATGGACTTGACACATTGAACACTAACAACTGCAGACCAGACAAGATATCATAACAAAGAAAGCAAAAGATTATTAAAGAGGAGAGAAAGAAAAGACTAAAATTAATGTCAGAGTAGCCATTATTTAAACTTAACCAACAATAAAGTGTAATTAACATGAAGTATAGAAATAATGGAATAAAAGAGATAAACACAATATTTTTAAAAGCACTTGAGAAGACAAAGTGTTGTGTTGAAATGTGGAAAGAAACAGAGTTGGAAAACCAAAAAAGAAGAATGTTTTTATATTTGAAGATCTGAGTTATAATAATGTAAGATTTTATGGGGGAAAATGATGAATGACACAGGAAGTATCAAAAGTAGAAGGAAGACACTGTACCAAAAAATAATTGATCAACACTCAACCATTTCAGAAGGCAGTGTATAATTGACTATGAACTGTTGACACTAAGAGAAGAAGCTTAAGCACCACTGATGACAGTTCAAACAGCAAAGTTCAGGAGTTGGCAGAGCACCACTTGAAATGGTTCACCAAACACTTGTGATGCCGAAAGTTCTTCTGTGTGCCAATAAATTTGGAAGACAGCTATATGTTCAATTGACTGGAACAAGTACATATTTGAGTGCTTCCATAGAAAGGTGACAATATTATGAAAAAAAATATTGAAAATAGCATTCTTATCACATACAAATAAAAGCTTGATGAAAAGGATTGCTGACGTACATTAAAAGAGGATAGCCAAAAAACTGAGTTGGATTTAGAAAATGAATTGTAATGAGGGACATAATTGCTGATGTTACATGAAGGTTAGTTGAAAACAGAGGACATCAGAAGGACATATACTTTTTTCCTTAGCTATGTAAAAGCATTCAACTGTGTAAGCTATAGTAAATTATGGATAACACGGCAAACCATAGGAATTTTAGAACATTTAAGTATGCTCATGTAAAATCACAACATAGGTCTTATTCCAATAGAATAAGAGGATACTGCATGGTCTAAATCAGGAAAAGTGTGCTATGATTGGATCCTTTCGTCCTATTAGTCTATTCTAATGATAAGTAAGTAATCCAAGACGTTACACTACATAAAGAAAAATTCAGTATCAAGATTGGAGCACGAATTAGCAAGAACCTGGAATATGCAGATGGCACAACTTTGCTGAAAGTGAAAAGGATTTCAAGTAAATTCTCATGAAGATCAAATTCTACTATTTTTCCTAAACAAAATCCTTCATGAGTGAGTCAATGAGCATTAATGTGATAAAATGTGTCAAGATTGAGGTTCTCAGGGTTTTCTTTTCTTTTTTAACCACAATCAATGCTCATGGAAGCAGCAGTCAAAATACAAAAGAGTTATTGCATTGGCCATATCTGCTGCAAAAAGACATTTTAAAAGTATTAAAAAGGAAAGATTTCATTTAGAGGCTTAATGTGCACAGGACCCAGGCTTTGGTATTTTCACTTCATAGGCATGTGAAAGCAAGAGAATGAATAAGGGAGACTGAATAAGAATTGGGGCCTTTGCACTATGGAGTAGGCAAACAATACACCATGAGCTGCCAAAAGAATAAACAAATCTTTCTTGGAAGAAGACAAATTGAAAGTCCCTTTAAATGAGTTGTTTCATGTTTTTTGGACATATCATCAAGTGGGATCTGTCCTTGGAGAAGGATATTATGCCTCGTAAAGTAAAGTGTAATTGAAAAAGAGGAAAACCTTAATGCAATGGATTGACATGGTGATCCAATCATTGGCTAACGCATACCAATGATTATATAAAGATGAGCCAGGCATAATTGTGCTTTGTTCTGTGACAGGTAAGGTTAGTAAGAGTTGGACTGACTTTTGGAACCTGTTGTTGTTGTTGTTACGTGCCATCGAGTCGCCTGCGACTCATAGCGACCCTATGTACAAGAGCTCTAAACGCTGTTCTATCCTGTGCCAATTTAGCCATCTCAAACACACCTATTCCCAGAAAAACCAAACAAATCAACAATAGCAATAAGCAATCAACATTTGGAATATAAAAATTTTAAAGAAAACATTTTATTTTCAATAGTACTGAAAACTATAATCTATCTCTTTATCTTTTCTCTTTCTTTTTAGACAATTAAGGAAAACAACGTACAAATGGAAAAAAAGAAAAAACCCAATTTAAACATCTACTTCATAAGAGAACATGAATCCAATGTCTAACAAACATAAAAAGACGTTCAACTTTATTATGTATGAGGAAAATGAAAAATAAAACCATAGGCAGTAACATAAGAGTAACTGACTGAAATGCAATGCGTAGGAAATGCTGCATATTAATGAAACTGGGGAGAAACCATTTTGGAAAACTACTTGGGAGTATTTTAAACCATTTAGACCCTTCGACCTACTAATTCCAATACATTCTGGATAAACACATTACCAAGGCATGTTCCAAAATGTTGTTACACTAATTATGCTGGGCCCAAACTGGAATAACGTAAGGGGCCCCAAACAGTAGTATGAATTAATATATTTTAATTTATTTAACCTATTGATTACCCCACAAGATTAGGCATAAAACCCCTCATATTTGCAAGCAGAGTAGTTGAAAACTTACAAATAATGAGTGGAAAAAAAGACTGACATAAAATGAGTTGAAGAATTAGAAACCCATTTACATTAAAACTGTTAAAAATCAAGGTTTCTAGTTATTTATGTGGTTGGTGGTGCACTGGCAAGAGGTAGTTCTTGGGTGCTAGCAATGTTCTGGTTTCTGAACAAAAAAAAAGGTTCAATGTTATCAAAACATAAAAATAGAAAAAAAAATTACAGTAAGCAATGCATTAGATCCTTCATTTAAAACCAATGAAATCATAATCAAAGTCTCTCCACACGTAAGAAATGCAGCCTTTGCACGCGTGGGCACACACATCACAAACTCAAAGCCTCATTGGCTGAGGGCTGTGGCTCAGTTCCGGAAGCAACTTTGAGCACCACCCCTTCCGCTTTCCCGCCAACCCAACTTCCGCTACTTTGCCGGCTTCAGCATGATGGCCTTCTTACCTTCTGCCTGCACACGCTCAGGCCCGCTTACTGCTTGTTAGCCAACTTGGTTTTTCATTCAGCGGGAAAACAGTGTTGCTTCCTCTCGGCAATAGGCTGTATCTGGTTTAACAGGCTCTTCGCAGCCCTGCGGGCTCCCTACTCGCCGCCATTATGAACATCCGCAATGCTGGGCCGGCGGATCTGATGAACATGCAGCATTGCAATCTCCTTTGCCTTCCTGAGAACTATCAGATGAAGTACTATTTCTACCATGGCCTTTCTTGGCCTCAGCTCTCTTATATTGCTGAGGATGAGGACGGGAAGATGGTGGGCTATGTGCTGGCCAAAATGGAAGAGGACCCAGACGATGTCCCCCACGGGCATATCACCTCACTGGCTGTGAAGCGCTCGCACCGTCGTCTCGGCCTGGCCCAGAAGCTGATGGACCAGGCCGCCAGGGCCATGATCGAGAACTTCAGTGCCAAATATGTGTCCCTGCATGTCAGAAAGAGCAACCGGGCCGCTTTACACCTCTACTCGGACGCCCTCAACTTTGAGGTTAGTGAGGTGGAACTGAAATACTATGCAGATGGGGAAGATGCCTATGCTATGAAGCGAGATCTCACACAGATGGCTGAGGAGCTGAAGCAGCAGCGGGAGCTGAAGAAATGTGGATACGTGGTGCTGGGCTGCAGGGAGAGTGAGGTGGAGACCCACATCAGCACACATCCCAGTTGTGAAGAGGCCTGCCAGGAGGCAAAGAGCCCAGAGGCTGAGGATAGAGGTGACTGCAAGGAGCTCAGTGACTGCTCTGAGAGCCTCGATGCTCAGGACGGCTCAGGAGACTTGGATTCTGCGGCCTAGAGTGGGCTTGAGGTATTTCTCCTTTCCTGACCTGACCTCCTTGTCCTTGACCCCACCACCAGCAGCACCCTATCCTGGCCTGTCCAGTTCCATTCTAGTCCTGCTAGGCTCCCAGTGAAAGCATGTGGTGACTGTGGAGTGGGGTGACTTGGAGTCTGACTCCTTGCTCACTGTCATAGGTAGTTTATATGCTAACAATCAGGTAAACAAACAGATGTTTTCTCAGCCTTTCCTGGAGGCATTATATTCAGAGTATCCACATCATTGATGAGAAAATATAAAAGAATTCTAAAATTTTATAAAAGAATTCTAGCTAATAATAGTAGAATGGTAGAAATAAAGAGTCACCACTTTGAGAATCTTCATGAAATAATGCATGGGCAGCAGTCATCAATGGCTATTACGAAGGTGAATTTGGAGAACTTTATAATAATGGATCAGACTAATAATTTCTTTTTTGTTTATTTGTTGTTGTTGTTGTGTACCATGGAGTTGGATCTGACTGGCACCAGAGGATGTTGCCCCTCCTCCAGCAGAGGATCTGGTGGATTCCAGTGCCTCTTTTTTCCACTGGGACACCAGAGTTCCCCAGACTAATAATTAAAGTCAGTAATCAATTTAATATAACTAAAAGTGTGACAAAATCATTTGCTTCCTGATGCAATAGGAAGTACCTGTGCAATGTTGTTGTTGTTGATTACCTTGAGTCAGCATGACTCAGTGCTACCCTAGGAACAAAAATGCCTGAAGCCCCTCTACAACTATCAACGTTTATCAAGTTCAGTTTCTGGAGGCAAAAAGGTTGGAAGATTAAACCTTACCAGAGATTCTGCCTACTCTGATATATAGGTTTGCTATAAATCAAAAACAATGGCAGTGGATTTGTTGTGGGTTTGTTTGGGGTTTTTCTTGGGGGGGGGGCAGGGTGTTGTCTGGAAAGAGAATCAGATTACCCAGTGAGCAAGGTAAATTTGGGCTTAATTTAGTACTTGATAGTGAAAATTTTCCATTTCTTTTTAAACATCAAAGTTTGCACTTCTAAGGTTTGATTGGCATCTGTTTTTTCCCGATTGCAAATCACCTTCTAACAGAATAAAGGCCTCTTTTTTATAATTAAAAATATATTGTTTGCTTACAAAGTTCATACACAATGTGTTTCACACAATTCTTCATTGACGTTGTGTTTCATACAATCATTCCCATGTATTTTATAAAATAATCACCATTGGACCTTGCCCATCATTACCCTGCCTTTTCAGTTCCCCACCAGATCCTTCCCATTTCCTTTACCTCTTGACTTCACCCACCAAGTTGTACAGAACTTTGGTTTCACCCCTACTCATCCTCACCCCTCTGCTCCTACCCCATCTCTCTTTGAGTCTTACTAGTCTAACCAGTTTTACTAGTTACTCTTCTAGTTTTACAATAATGGTCTTATGTAGTATATGTCTTTAAGAAACTTAGTTCACTGAGCATAATTCTTTCCAGTCTCTTTTTCGAAAGTATTGCTCCTGAATGCTGTATAGTATTCCATTGTGTGAATGTACCACAGTTTCTCCATCCATTAAGTTGGGGTTGGAAATTTGGGCTTTTTACATGTCCTTGTAATGGTGAATAATGCTGCCGTTAACATTGGTGTACAAATCTCTGATTGTGTCTCAATTCTAGTGTCCTTGGGTTATATTTCTAATATTGGAATAGTTGAGTCATAAGGAGTTTCTGTTTTCAACTTTTTGAGGAAATGCCAAACTATCTTCCAGAGTGGTTGTACCATTTTACAATCCCACCAACAGTGTATGAGATTTCCCACCTCTTAAACATTTATTGTCTGCTGCCCTGTTAAACTTTGTTCCTGCTATAGGGGTGAGATGGTATTTCATTATGGTTTTGATTTGCATCTCTCTTATTGCCAGTAATTTTGAGTATTTCTTCATGTATCTGTTGGCCACCTGAATGTCTTGCTGTGTGAAAAGTGTTTCTGTGTCTTTTGCCCATTTTGTAATTGGGTTATCAGTCTTTTTCTTTTGGAGGTCCAGGAGTTTTCGGTAAACTTTTATTATGAGAACGTTATCTGTGGTAGCATTGCCAAATGTTTTCTCCCAGTCAGTACATTGTTCCCTCCCCCTCCCCCTTTTGGAAACAGTTTTTGATGAGCACAGAGATTTAATCTTCAGAAAGTCTCATTCACCAATTTCATCTTCTCTGGTTTGTGTATTTTTGGCTGTATCTGGCAGTCTCTTTATTTCATAAACTAGGCCTTTAAAGCTTGCTCACAGTTTGTCTCTTATGAACTTTGTGGTTTTGGGCTTTACTCCCAGGTCTCTGATGCACCTTGAGTTATTTTTGTGTATGGCATGAGATGTGGATCCTGTTTCAGCTTTTTCTAGGTCCAGTTTTACCAGCACCATTTGTTGAAGAGGTTGTCATTTCCCCAGTATAGGTTTTATTTCCTTGTCTATTATCAGTTGATCGTAGATAGAGAAGTCTGTTTCTGGGTTCTTGACTCTCTTCTCTTTATCTATGTGTCATTTCACCAATACCATGTTGTTTTAGTTACTACCTCTGTCTAGTAGTAGGTTTTAAGGTCAGGGAGTGCTATGCTTCCCACTTCATTTTTGTTTTTCAGAGATGCTTTGCTTATTCGGGGTGTTTTTCCTGTCCAATAAACTTGGCAATTTCCCTTTTAATCTACTTGAAAAATGAATTTGGTATCTGGGTTGGGATTGGGTTGAACATGTAGATTGCTTTTGGTAGGATTGTCTTTTTAACAATATTAAATCTTCCTATCCATGAGCAGGGCACATTTTTTTTTTTCTCTTCTAATCTTTTAAAACAAACTTAGGAGCTATTGGCCATATACAACCATTATAAACCTTATTTAGATCTTGGTTAAGACAAAGTGAATATGGACATTTTTGACACAACTAGCCAAAATTTGAATTCAGATTATACAATGGATGCTATTTAAAACTTTCCAAGACTTTGCCTTAGTAAAACATATTGCCAGCAAATCAGAACCAAAACATAGCTGGCCCTCCATTTGGTTTCCAAGACTGCAAATCATGTGGATGGAAGGAGATTATTCCTAAGAACCCACTAGAAGCCAAGGTAAATTTGAACCTCCAGAGAAGTGGGACCTTTGGGTTAGCAGCCCAGCTCTTTATATACTTAAATGTATTACAGTACATTAGATTTAGATTTAAAGAGAAAAGTCCTTATTTTTTGTATGTGCATACTGAATAATGTACCTAAGATTTTCTATAAAGTGGTGCAGTACAGATAATAAATGGGGGTGGAGGTGGAGAATAGATAAAAGTTTATTGTAACAATAAGTACTGTAGTATTTTCTAACTTCTGTCAGGTTACTTTAAGAATTGTAAGGGTTATTGGTCTGACAGTTTAGAAGTTTTCACTTATAAACATATCTTGCTTTTCCTTGTGGAAAGGGAAAAACTTTGTTAATAAAATAGGTGTCATGGATGCCATGGACTATGTGCATAAAATTGCAATAAATGTTATTTGATTTATTTTTTTCATTCATAAAAATGTTTGACTAGGTTTAGAGCAGCAATCAAGGCAGATGGATGTTTACATTTGTTGTGGTGGTTAGGGTGCTGTTGAGTTAAATACAACTTGTAGTGGCCCTGTGAATAACAAATCTGAACCTGTCCTATCCTGTACCATCCTCACACTTCCTGACACACTTTTTCACATTTGTGGCAGTCATTGTGTCAAAGGTTCAAGATGTTCCTCTCCTTTGCCAACTGTATACCTTTCTGAGCATCATGTCCCTCTCAAAGGAATAGCTTCTCCTAGCAACATGCCCGAAGTATATAAAGTGAAGCTTTATTATCTTTGCCTCCAAAGAACACTCTGACTGTACTTTCTCCCAAGACATATTGGTTCTTTTGGATGGTCACTACTCTCCTCAACACCAAAGCTCATCCTTATTAATTGTCTCTCTCCCAGATGCATAGCAAATGATTGGAAACATTGTGTCAGACACACCTTAGGTCTCAAACTGATATCATTACTCCTAAAAAATTGGAGAGGTCCCAAACTGCAGACTTTCCCAGTGTAATATGCCTCCTAGTCTCTTGACTGCTATTACCAAAGTTGTTGACTGTGTATCCAAGTAAGATGAAGTTGTTGACAGTTTCAATCTTTTCTCCATATTTCAGTGGTAAGAATCTTTGTCTTCTTGACACTGACACACATTCCATACTGAAGGCTATATTGTTTGATCTTCTGTAACTAGTGATTGTGTCATTCGTATAACACAGGTTATTTATAACTTTTCCTCTGATCTTGATGCCACATTCTTCTTCATAGTATCCAGCCTTTTGAATAATTTGCTCAGCATACAGATTGAATAATCGTGGAGAGAGAATACAACCATGACACATTCCCTTTTTCATTTTAAACCATGTAATTATCCAGAAAAGACTTAAACAAAAACAATGTTCCCTTGCTCTGTTTATACAATAGCCTCTTGGTCTAGGTGTAGGTTTTGCTTGACCATAATTATGTGCTCTGGGATACCCATTCTTCTCAATGTTAGCTGTAACTTGATATAATCTACCCAGTCAAATGCCTTTGCATAGTCAATAAAGCTTAAATAGACATTCTTCTGGTATTCTTTAGTTTCAGCCAAGATCCATCTGACGTCAGCAGTGATATCCCTGGTTCAATGGCCTTTTCTAAATCCTGCTTGAATTTCTGCTAGTTCCCTATCTATGTACTGTTCCAGCCATTTTTAAATTATTTTCAGTAGTAGTTTGCTTGCATATAATATTAATAATATTGTTTGATAGTTTCCTCATTCAGTTGGATCAGATTTCTTGGGATTTGGAACAAATATGTATCTCTTCCAATTCGTTGGCCAGACAGCTGTTCTCCAAATTTCTGGCATAGACTGGTGAGCACATCTAGGCCTGCCTTTGTTAATTGAAACAGGTCAGTTAGTATTCCATCAGTTCTTGGGACCTTATTTTTTGCCC